GGGACACACTAGGGACACGGGGTGGACACACAGGGGACACGCAGGGGACACAGGAGGACACAGGGGACACGCAGGGGACACGCGGGGGACATGCAGGGGACACGGGGTGGACACAGGGTGGACACGGAGGGGACACGGGGGGGACACGGGGGGGACACGCAGAGGGCACATGAAGGACACATGGGGTGGACACGCAGGGGACACACGGGACACGCAGCAAACACACAGAGGACACACGGGGACACACAGGGAACACACGGAGGACACGCAGGGGACACACAGGGGACACATGGAGGACACGCAGGGAACATACAGAGGACACACGGGGACACACGGGGACACACGGAGGACACGCAGGGGACACGCAGGGGACACACAGGGGACAAACGGGGACATGCAGGGGACACGCGGGGGACACGCAGGGGACACACAGAGGACATGCAGGGGACACGCAGGGGACAAACGGGGAACACACGGGGACACGCAGGGGACACGCAGGGGACATACAGGGGACACACAGAGGACACACGGGGACACATGGGGACACGCAGGGGACACGCGGGGCACATACAGAGGACACCCAGGGGACACGCAGGGAACACACAGGGGACACGCAGGGGACACGCAGGGGACATACAGGGGACACAGAGGACATGCAGGGGACACGCAGGGGACACACGGGGACACCCAGGGGACACGCGGGGACACGCGGGGACGTGCAGGGGACACGCAGGGGACACACAGAGGACACACGGGGACATGCAGGGGACACACGGGGACACACGGGGACACGCAGGGAACATACAGGGGACACGCAGGGGACACACGGGGACACTCAGGGGACACACGGGGACACGCAGGGGACACGCAGGGACACACAGAGGACACGCGGGGACACGCAGGGGACACGCAGGGGACACACGGGGGACACACGGGGGACACACAGAGGACACACGGGGACACACGGGGACACGTAGGGGACACGCAGGGGACATACAGGGGACACACAGAGGACATGCAGGGGACACGCAGGGGACACACAGGGAACGTACAGGGGACACGCGGGGACACACGGGGACATGCAGGGGACACGCAGGGGACACGCAGGGGACAAACGGGGAACACACAGGGACACGCAGGGGACATACAGGGGACACACAGAGGACATGCAGGGGACACACAGGGGACACACGGGGACACACGGGGACACTCAGGGGACATACAGGGGACATGCAGGGGACACGCAGGGGACATACAGGGGACACACAGAGGACACACGGGGACACGCAGGGGACACGCGGGGACACGCAGGGAACATACAGGGGACACGCAGGGGACACACGGGGACACGCAGGGGACACCCAGGGGACACGCGGGGACACACGGGGACACACGGGGACACACAGAGGACACACGGGGACACACGGGGACACACAGGGAACACACGGGGACACACGGGGACACGCGGGGACATGCAGGGGACACGCAGGGAACATACAGGGGACACACGGGGACACACGGGGACACGCAGGGGACACACGGGGACACGCGGGGACACGCAGGGGACACGCGCCGCCCACGCGCCGCCCACGCGCCGCGCTCGCCGCCCGCCCCCGTCACTCGGCCGAGCCCTTGTG